ATATATATATATATATATATATATATATATATATATATATATATATATATGCACACACACACACACACACACACACACACACACACACACACACACACACACACACACACACACACACACACACACACACACACACACACACACACATATATATGCATATACATGCGGCTATGCGGGGGCGCATAGCCGCAGCCACCCTCGCTTCCACCTACGAGGATCCTTCATGGCGAGCCGCCAGGCAGGGGCCCGGCCCATATCTATCTCTTCACGACAGGTTTGATCGATCTGCCCAAGCCACGACCTTCTCGGTCGTCCCACAGGCCTCCTCCACCCAGGGTTATCTCGAACAGAGACAACCTGGTGGGCAGGATCATCCTGTGTATACCGTATACTTAACCACGATTTGTGTATGACATTAGCCATAGACCATATGGCTATTTGCTACGTGGTTTGAGGTCCAGGGGAGAACCATCGCCTCAGCGAGGAGTAGCTGACAAGTTATCTTGACCTTGTTTGGCCTTACCAGATGTGCCCTTGCTCCCGCGGACTCACGTCAGCTCACTAGCTTCCCCCCCCCCCCCCCCCGTCTCCGCACTCGCCACTTACCCAAGACTCGTCTTACTATCACTTGTTGTACTCTTCATAAATAAAGAGTCGGCCGTTATACTCACATGTCTACCCCTGCACAACCAATGTTTAAAGGTCCACCATATACCTTTTACATTGTGTGAAACGAGCCAGCTGTCCATATAATCTGAGTTGGCGATCGAGGATTGTGCAAGTTACAGGTCCTGTACCAGTCTCATGGTGCAATCATTGATGGGTGTGTGCGTGTGTATTATATATTTATAAATCATATATATATATATATATATATATATATATATATATATATATATATATATATATATATATATATATAATATATATATATATATATATATATATATATATATATATATATATATATATATATATATATTTTATATATATATATATTTTTTTTTATTATATAATATGTAAATTATATATATATATATATATATATATATATATATATATATATATATATATTATTATATAATATGTAAATGATATATATATATATATTATATTATATAAATATATATATATACATATATATATTAAAAAAAAAAATGTGTGTGTGTGTGTGTGTGTGTGTGTGTGTGTGTGTGTGTGTGTGTGTGTGTGTGTGTGTGTGTGTGTGTGTGTGTGTGTGTGTGTGTGTGTGTGTGTGTGTGTGTGTGTGTAGATAGATAGATAGAGCAAGGTATCACTCTGTAATTTCTTCTTATTCCAAAACCCTTTGCCCTTCATTAAAATGTGAAATGATTCAATGAAAAAAAACATTATGGACACAAAGTTTTATTTGTAAGAGGTACAAAGCCGCACTCACTCATCAGTTATGCATTATATAATTATAAGGAAATACTTTAGCAACCATTCTTCCAGTAATCATTATAATAAGTTGTGAAAAGAAGTAAGAAAATAACATAAATATCTTTTATTTTACAATTTATACATGAGATAAAGATGTTATTAAATTCATTCAGATCAGCCATCAAATTCATTCTCTTGGGAGATAGTGACTAAAAGTTGGAAAAATAGAAAGTCTGACAAACGTTACAAAGACACAATTTCTTGCAAGTCTTTCCAACTTTACATGGAATAAGGAAGAAAATGCTTATACTCAAGTCATTCAGATCATTTTTTGTCATTGTTTTAGTTTTAACTCCATTTTTCTTTTGTTGAAGGGAATAATAATAATAAAAAAAAGTGCTTTACATATGAATAGGATAATTCAAGGAAACCTGTCAAGAATCTTCTTGTATTTTATATCTCTCACATATTTTTTAGCCTTGAAGCTTTTGCTCTGTTTTTGTCACGTATATATATTGTAAAATAAACCTGATGTCACTCACTTATGCTATGAAATTTTTAATGTATTCACATCCAGTATAATGACATATCACACAAAATAGTCCAGTATTTTTATTTTATATACTTAAGATGTTTAATTAATGTTCATCCACATATAGTACTTTCATCCAACAATATCACTTTCTGACATGAGAATACAAGTAGATCCTTCTTGAGTCACATATACACTTCACTTCAGTTAGGAAACTGATAAGGACTCTGGGACTTTTTACCATTGCTTTTACATGAATAGATTCTCTTGCACTGATGAATATAAATCAAAATATTTTCTGATGTCAAGGATTGTAGAGTGATTTGTAGAACAGCCAAATAATAATTAATGTTACTACAGTCAACTGTAGCAAAGAGAAATGTGTATAATTTAAAAAGTATTAAGTTATTAGAAGAAACATTTAAACAGTGAAAGATTTACACATATTGTACATCACATGACTGCGGTACAGTAGAATAAGTGGAAGCGATACTATGAATGCGATTAAACTGTAAACAGCACCACAACTTTTATCTCCAAATATTACGCTAAGAATATTATTCCTCATTATTGACAACGTAACAACAGCAAAAATATGAGAGCAAGAAGGTAACTCATATGTGCATGGGGCTGTACAAGATATGAACTAAAAACACAGCAATGTAGGTAATGTCTTTGTCATGGAAATGGGTGGAATTAAATAATTTTTCTGAACTCTTCCAACAACAATCACATAGAAATGGTATCAGATCATGCACACTCTTTCATTAACATTTGCCATACGTGACATAGGCTCACACTTACTCAGTTTTCACTATAAACTGCAAAATAATGGACATTCAAATTACTTTTACCAAAAGAATCTGACATGATGCTTCAGATGACAATTTGTTGCATATTAGGAACAAATTAGGAATCTACTATTCAAACAGCCATAGTAGAACAAAAAAAAAAACGACATTCAGTTGTGTAGTATTTTTATCCCCTCTCCCATGTGTGTTCAAATGTAGCTTGGTAATTATGTGTAAGCTTTCATTCTTGATGACTTTAAAGTAGGCATTGCTTTTTACTGCCTAAAATTGGTACAGATAAAGCATGAAGCATGTATAACATGCAGATAAACATAAGGAACTAATGATTCCTAAAAGATTACAGTCATTAGTGTTGTGACCCCAACTTACAAGAGGGCTGAGCAAAGAATCACACAAGATGGCACGGAATTGTTTTGAACTCTGGGGTAGGCAAAAGGAAAGGCAAATAAAAGGCAATCAGGACTATTTCAGTATCAAATCTTATTTACACCACAGGAAATCTTTCTTTATTATAATAAAAGATGGCCCCAATAAGCACCAACATCATATTTTTTCATAAATAACCATGTAGTTCTAATATATTTTAAAAGCATTATCAAAGATGACAATATGCAAAAATGATGCAATACCAATTTTGCTTTTATTTTGTTTAGAAACAAATAATTTACAATTTTAGTCCTGACTCCTTTTCAGTCACTACATCCACAATTAAGAGAACCTGAGCCAAACAAAACTTTTAAGTTCATTTATGGCACAAACACACCAATATGTACAGAAGCACACAAGTGCACATTGCATGGAACCAAGTGAGCATTATGAGCAGGATATTGCTCTGTTTTTTACATATATCAACCCCACAAAACTTAACATATAAACAATTGTATTAATGATAAACTGTTATGACTACTGTGATTACATAATGGTAGGTGTGTAGAAACTTTTTCATGTAATGAGAATATATGGGACTGCAGTTATATACTGAAAAGAAATGTACAATAAATGTGCACATTCTACATACAGCTCAACAGATTCAAAAGAAAAAATGTATTATTTACTAAACCTTTATAACTGCACAATAAGAACTCTGGCTAAGTGAAAACCTACTAATGATTGACTGCAAATGACATTTATTGATCCTTTGTATTATTCATCAACAGTGGATATTCATCAATTAATCTGATATTTGTTAAAATAAATATCACCTTCCACAGAGACAGTGATTTTGTAGTCACTTTTTGTTAAGCATTTTTAGGGCACTGCATGCATCTGCTTTTTACGGAAGACAGTAAATATCATACTGTCACTCCTAAGTTCCCTCACAAAGAGCTGATCTGTGTATCTAGTTAGACTGAATGCTAAAACATGATGGAACAGGCTAGCAACAGTTTTCCAGAACCTGTAAAAATCTCATCAAAATACCTCATAAAAATGGCAATGCTAGAAGTGCAGTGAAGTACAATATATTACCATTTCTTAATCCAGTCTAAAGCTGTCTTTTGATTTCCTTTCTACATTTATAACCAAGCCTATGATTGCTCATGCACACAGAAAATTCTACTTTGGCTTTCTAGACTTTTAAAAGACAACCTACAATCAGATGCTTTGTTCTATAATTGTTACCCAAGCAGTTACAGAGCCTAGACATGAAGTCACAACCTTACTTCTCCTGACTAGCTGAACACCACTATATATATTAAGCATTTTCCTTTATATGCTTCTTTTAATGTTCCAGGAAGATTTTACACAAATAATTTACAATACTACAACTTAAAAGTAATCATAAGAAAAAGACGGTTTACAATTAATAATTATTCTTGAATACCACTTTTTTCATCAAAGAGAACAAACATGAAGCCTGCCCTTTTCCTTTTAGCATTCAAAGTTAGAAACAGCATCATATATAAAATATTGTGTGCTATGCTATGATATTCACAAATGATAAAGTTTGTTTTATTGAGAAGCTGGGAGAGGAAGGAGGGAGGGAGAGAGGGAGGGAGAGAGGGAGGGAGAGAGGGAGGGAGAGAGGGAGGGAGAGAGGGAGGGAGGGAGGGAGGGAGGGAGGGAGGGAGGGAGGGAGGGAGGGAGGGAGGGAGGGAGGGAGAGAGAGGGGGAGAGAGGGGGAGAGAGAGAGAGAGAGAGGAGAGGAGAGAGGAGAGAGAGAGAGGAGAGAGAGAGAGAGAGAGAGAGAGAGAGAGAGAGAGAGAGAGAGAGAGAGAGAGAGAGAGAGAGACAGAGACAGAGACAGAGACAGAGACAGAGAGAGGGAGAGAGGGAGAGAGGGAGAGAAGGAGAGAAGGAGAGAAGGAGAGAAGGAGAGAAGGAGAGGAAAGAGGGAGGGAGAGAGGGAGAGAGGGAGAGAGAGAAAGAGAGAATATCTCATTTATAATATAAAACAGAGATTGCAACTTTTCAAGAGAAAATTGCCGATGGACTTCTCCTTGATGGTCTTGAGAACCATTTTGATATATACTTTCTCTCAGCATCCAGTCTCCTTTTAACTTCACAAAAGCTAACTCATCACATACTTAGTAGACTGCACTGTACATGTGCCATTCTCTGACTTTATAATGCCTAAATTATGAACCTGAATTTCTCAACCTGGTTATCAGTAATGGTTGTGCAAGTCTTCTAAAAACGTTTAGTGTATTGAAACATAATCTGGGGCACAATCTCAGTCACTAAGTCCAAGAGTCTAGGTTTATTTACTTAAAGAAAGTTTCTATATAAAATATTCCAAAGAAAACACTGGTATCAAACATTTTATCTAGACGTGTTTACTACAAGGGAACTCTGACCTACTGACTTTATTGTCCTATACCAATCTTTCTTATTCAAACCAGTTTAAAAAGTGTTCAGTAAAATCTTAACCCTAAAGAACTTAAAGCACCCAATCCAAGAATCAATAGACCTACTCATCTACTGTCTGGATGTTGCCATCAGATATTTTTCAATATCAACTGGCTACCAAAAAGTATTTCTTTATATCAAACTGGTTACTCACAATGACCAAACAAAAAGAGACTATTGATTACATAAAATGTTTTAAAAACATCACAGTAGCCTGTCTTCATAAAATTCCCGCTGCAACCTTTTCAAAAACATTTAACCTCATGTTCTGAGGCAGCCATAATTAAATAAATGAAACGTTCAATATACACATCTCCAAAACATGGAATACATGACTACGTCAAGTTGAGAATATAAATTGTGTGGACACTGTATCACATTTATGTTACATTAATGCAACAGCATCTGTGGACTGTTAATCTTAAATATCTACAAGTTGAGATGATCTTCATGTGATGTGAAAATCATATTCACTTATGTTGGTTAAAATATAAAAAATGTGATTGGACCAAAGAAGTATAGTACACATGATGTAAGTGTTCATGTAGATATGTCTCCATAATCTGCATTCCACTTCTCATAGTTGATAAGTGTGGACTGTGGGACTGATCTCCGAATCTTTTTCAGTGATTCCTTGAAGTCGGACAGGTTAATTCCGCGGACCTCAGCTGGATCACATGATACAACTTGTTCTGGCTTTAGTTCTGTTGGGAATTATAAATCTTATATAAGTTTACAATGCTTTCATATATGTTCAGCCATTATTGTTACAAAAAGATTGGGCAAAATCAAATCCAAAGATTCAGTGTATAAACAAACATACCCCTGATTGGTGCAAGAGCAGCATCTTTTGCTAAAGAGGTTAGGTCAGACCCCGAATAACCATCTGTCAGGGAGGCTAAACTTTCCATGTCACGAGTATTCAGCTGAGATTTTTGTTTCTCCATCAACTTTTGGATTAGCAACGTACGTGTACATTTGTCTGGCAAAGACACATAAACACGCTTGCTGAACCGCCTGTTGGAATAAACAGAATAGTGATAAATCATACAAAAGGAAAAGAAAAGGAAAAAAAGAGACATCTAATCATGTATTATACAAGCAAAATTTAAATACTGATCTTCATATTTTACCTGAGGGCAGCATCATCTAGCTCATGAGGTCTATTAGTTGCCCCCATGACTAGAATTCTCTCTTCAGCATCTGATTTAAGGCCATCAAACTCTACTAGAAACTCTGTCTTGAGTCTTCTTGAAGCTTCATGCTCACCCTCTCTTCTTTCACAAAGAAGTGAGTCAATCTCATCAATGAAGATTATGGAGGGCTGGAAACATTGTTACAAGGGGGGAAGAGAATGGTATTACTATCATAATTATCATAATATCACGTATTTCATTAGCTTACCACTATAGTCCATTTATTTCATTTCTACCCAGAGAGCATGCCCCTCTTCCATACCTAACAAGCTGATTGCTTAATATGCAATTCTCAAGTCACTATTCATTCACTATGTGTGTTTACAATTATACTTATATTATCATTATAAAGAATATATATTCTTAAGTATGACAAAGTTTAAAATTGAAAAAATACATATGATTTCAAGACAATAGCACTGTTGAAAGCAACTTATAAAGGTTAAATGTTAAATTCTCTATGTTTAATGTTAATGTTTAATTTAATGGCTAAAGTGCTAGTGCTATTGCGATGTTTCAAGGATTTGTGCTTGTGCCACATATTAATGCTAATGCTACTAATTAGAACAAACATTTGCATCATTGACTGATTGCAGTAATACGATAAACTACGTACTGCAAATCTTATTTACCATGATAATATTACACATTCCATTTATTTACCTGTAATATGAACAACTATAAGTTTGTTGTCATTGCATCAACTGTGAAGGCGTGCAGCATTTTCAAATCGAAAATTGCCATGTAGGAAATGCATCAATTATACCTTGACAAAAAAATCAGAATGGAACTCCAAAGTTTACTTGTCATTATTGATATTTGGTTATCTTCATCTCTCCTTGACTCTGCATTTTTGCATATGAGTGCCAAAAAAAGGTCTTTGACAGGCAACTTTTGGCCACAACTCGACCAGCTATTAATACAGGTGTGAAAGTGTTCCATGCACGTAAGGACTGTTTTTAAATCTACAGTGCAGATTTAAATACACCGAGGATAATTGTGCAATAGAAATGACAACACTTTGATTTAATGTCAACTGTTAATTTAGCTGTTTCCTACATCTTTACTAATATTCTCTATTCACATCCATGAGAACAATCTTTAACCCATTAGTGATGGTAATAGAAATCTCTTGGTGTCACTGACTCAGGAGGCTTCTGGCAACTGTCATGCCATTTGGCCCACTACACGAAGTGGAACTTTCTACTCGGCACACCTACCATACCACGACGCCTATAGCCGTACCCAGCACATTAAGTTGGTTTATTATGACGGCTAGATACAGGTTAATTTGTCCTAATGCATTTTTTCCTATGTTGAGGAATATTCACCATCGTAAATTCTAAGGAAGGCTTAGAGGGCCCTTTTATTGTAAACCGAGCTGTTTCCTACATTTTTACTGATGTATTCTCTTAACCCATTCGCGCCGGGTGTCACGTATACGTGACGGGCCCACTGTGAGTTTACTTGTTTGATTGTTTACAAACATAGATGGCTCCGCTTGCACTTGTACTGCCTGTCTCGTCTGTTTACCCTTTTCTTTAATTTACGAAATTATTTTGCGTCATCTTATATTGCTGTTACTAATGTTTATAACATTATAGTAATTATAATGTTTATAATAAAAATAACCATCGATATTCATAGCACTAGTAAAAATACATTTTCCCGCCAAATGAAATCCGGTAAAGCAGAGCCATCTAGTGTAGAGAAATTTCATTAAAAAATATAAAAAATGACCCCAGCATTTCCCCCATTTTTTGTTCATTTTTACCCGGCGCGAATGGGTTAAAGCAATGACTACAGTTTTGTGTACTGTCCCCTGTAGCTTTTGTGAATTTTGTTACACACAGATGGCTCCACATGTGCTCAGCAACCAAGAGGTCTATCAGTAGGCCCTAGCAACTGTGATGACTCCTTTTCTTGAATAATTACTATATATAGTGATACTGTTATAATTGGTATTATGATTATTAGATTCTTATTAAAATATTGTTAACATTCAAAACAACAAAATAATACAAATGAAGCATTCCATTAATTAAGAAAAAGGGTAAACAGGTGAGACAAGTAGGACTAATAACTGACTCCTTGGTGACTAAGCACTTGTAGAGCCATCTATATGTAAAGACAAGATGAACTTATTTCACAGTGAGCATGGCGTTTTTGCCATCTATGCCAACTGGGTTAAAAGAATACAAATAGCACCACTCACTTTTACATGTAATGCAATGACAACAACCACTGGGATGCCAGATTACATTTAGATATACTAAATATGTATTATTACCATCATAATATAAGTAAGATTTATTTCAATATTTACCTCACGGTAATATTACAATAGATGATCAAATTTGGGTCTATAACAATACAAATGTTTGTTCTAATTAGCAGCATTAACTTTGCAATGTGGCAACAATGAAAATCACAGACAAAATCTCAAGGAACAGTCATAGACCCTTCATGAATACCGCCCCTGGTAACTGGGTGACTAATTTCCATTTTTTATCATTCAATTTCAAAATTTTCTAAATCACATTACGCTCTTTCGCTTTACACATACAAAGTTTATCTACATTTTGTTTTTACCATCAGAATTCAGAAAGACAATACATAAAAAAAGCAAAGAAGAATATCAATGGTATATTATACCTGAAGTTCCCGTGCAACAGAAAAGAGAGCTTTCACTAATTTTTCTCCTTCTCCCACATATTTACTGGTTAATGTTGATGCACTGATATTGAAGAAGGTTGCTGAGCTTTCACTTGCAACTGCTCGGGCCAGCATGGTCTTCCCATTTCCTGAAAATATGATAAGACATAAATAAATAGGTAAATAAATATATATAACTTCAGGATCTTCTACATCATATTCTTAAAGATAACAAAATGATCACAAAATATATATTCTACATTCTTTTATTCATGTAGCATGCAATAATGAAACGTTTATGCCTATGCTATAAGGGCTTCCATAATGAAAGTAAGGCTCTTTTAACCAACTGGCACTGGGTTAAAAGTGCAGTTTTCTTTTGTCAACTTTATTTACATATGGATGGATATAGAAGCACTTAGTCCCCAAGCAGTCAATTACTAGACCTGCCCAACCTGTCCTGTGAACTCAATTTCTGGATTTCTTTGGGGAAAGGTCTTTTCTGTACTTCTTTTACTACTATAAAGGTAATTTTATCATCATTATCATCTTGCCATACAGTCACTAACCCATTGGATCTGGATGCTTCCCTGCTATCATGTAGCCTAAATTATGGGCATTTGTCTTACATGAGCACACACTATGCTGGGTATTCGGCTTGTAGGCAAATGAACACTCGTATATGGAGACAAGACTCCATGGCTCCCCTTTGCAATGTTCCCCCCCCCCTCCCCCCAGCATAAGCATTTTTAGCTGTTTTACCATTTTCCAATATCTCTATTTGTCATTTGAATTGCTTTATCCAGACTCCATATAATCTCTCCAGGTAGTTTATAATTCAGTGCAATAATAACATTCTGTAATTATTATCATTCCCTACCCCCATAATTTGTAATTTTCTGCCTTTCGAGTCACCCCAGTTATCAGCCGAAATACTCCCTAGAGCAAGTTCGTGTCACCTGAGCCCACAGCTAAATTTTCCCATGACGACATGTTCTCATCATCTGCCTCTCAAGCCAAATTTTTTCATGATGTGATGGTCATGTCAAACTATATCATAGGCCTTAATTACACTAACAGTATTAATGAGAAACAGAAATGGACAAGATCAGGTAAGCTTAGTAATTGACTCCTTGGTGACTAACAACTTGTGGAGCCATATTTTTTAAATCAAATTCATAAACTAAAATTACAGTGGACAGCACATGTACATATGCCATCCCAGCATCTACAAACTATACATCTTCAACTCTTAATTCTGTTTGCACAAAGTCTTGTCCTGATAATCTTTCTGGCAATTTTACTCAACAATTTTGAATTAATGAGCAAATGGCAAGACCTAATATCACTGTGGGTAATGATTTTGATGTATATAATATCAAAATAAATTTTGACTCTGTTTTCATTCCCCTGCCCACCATGAATTACAGTACCCTGAAAAATCTTAAACCAACTGACCTAGATGACAAGAATACATTAGTTTACTTGTCTTTACACAAAGATGGCTCTACAAGTGCTTAGTCTCCAAATAGTCTCAGATTATCTCTCACCTGGTCATCTGGAGATCTTTTTTTATTTCATTGTTTTTAATATTATAATACCATTATAATAACTATAGTGTTAATAATAATAACCATATTGATATTAATGGTACCGAAAAGAATTACACTTTCCAGAAAATTCAGGGAATGGGGATATCGGCAGTGGTCACTAAAGCGTACTTGGTGGCTGAGCACACTTGGAGCCATCTGCAAGCAACTAAATTACCCCCCAAAAAACAACAGCGAGCAACACTTAAACCCGAGGCAATTTGGTCGAGTCGCCAAGGTGCCAGCCAGAGCCAAATGCAGGACAAGGTTAACAAGAAAGCCAATATAGAATTACCAGGAGGACCAAAGAGGAGAAGCCCTCTGGCTGGAGCACGAAGACCCGTGAAGAGCTCTGGCCGGAGGTTTGGCAGGATCACAATTTCCTGGAGGGCCTTCTTGGCAACCTGCAAAATATAAAGGTATTGAAAACCAGTGACAAGTGACTGAATTTAGACAAAGGAAAAAAGATACATCCATGGATTAATAAACATTACACAAGTATATAAGTATAAACTGATGTTAAAGTATATATATCTTATATCATACATATATGATCTAAAGTGTACAACAAAATGGAGATATTTGGGAGAGACTTTTGACCAGTAGTATACAAAACCAGGCACAGGCAGATGTGCGTGTTTTATATTTGTTTTTCATCATGTCAGCATTTTATTTTATCTTATTTTCGAAAAATTATTTTCTCACACACACACACACACACATGATAGAGGTATTAGGACATATATGGTGAGGATATGTAAAAATTAGAAGGGTAGAGATACATAGATAGGTGTACATGATGATAATAGATAGAGGGATATAGACAGATGTAGAGAGAGCTACATGAGGTATACACATATATAACAAATGATGAGAGACTAGTAGAGAGAGCTAGATAGAGAGAGATAGAGAGGAGAGAGGACGATAGAGAGAGAGAGACAGGGAGAGAGGAGACAGGGAGAGAGAGAGAGAGAGAGAGGATGATAGAGAGTTGAGAGAGATATGAGAGAGAGAGAGAGAAGAGAGAGAGAGAGAAAGAGAGAGAGAGAGAGAGAGAGAGAGAGAAGAGAGAGAGATGAGAGAAGGGAGAGAGAGAGAAGAGAGAGCGAGAGAGAGAGAGAGAGAGAACGATAGATAGGCAGGAGAGAGAGAGAGAGAGAGAGAGAGAGAAAGAGAAATAGAAAGAGAGGGAGAGAGAGAAGAGAGAGAGAGAGAAGAGAGAGAGAGAGAGAAGGGAGAGCGAGATATAGAGAGAGAGAGAGAGAGCGAGAGGAGAGAGAGCGAGAGAGAGAGAGAAGGGAAGAAGAGAGAGAGAGAGAGAGAGAGAAAGAGAAAAGAGAAAGCGAGAGAGAGAGAGGAGAGAGAGAGAGAGAGAGAGTACGAGAGAGAGAGAGATGAGAAGAGAGAGAGCGAGAGAAGGGAGAAGAGAAGAGAGCGAGAGAGAGAGATGAAGGGAGAAAGGAGTAAAGAGAGAGAGAAGGGAGAGAGAAAGAGAGAGAATGGAGAGAGAAAGAGAGAGAAGGGAGAGAGACAGAAGAGAAGGTAGAGAGACATAGAGAGAAGGAGAAGACAGAGAGAGAAGGGAGAGGGAGACAGAGAGAGAAGGGAGAGAGACAGAGAGAGAAGGGAGAGACAGAGAGGAGAGAGACAGAGATGAGAGAGAGCGACAGATAGAGAGAGAGAGACAGAGAGGAGAGAGAGAGAGAGAGCGAGAGAGAGAGATAGAGAGAGAGAGAGAGAGAGAGACAGAGACAGGAGACAGATAGAGGAGAGAGAGAGAGAGAGAGAGACAGAGAGAGGAGCGAGCGAGAGAGAAGAAAGACAGAGACAGAGAGAGAGAGAGAGATAGTGAACAGAGAAAGAGATAGAGAGAGCGAAGACAGGAGAGAGAGAGAGAGACATAGAGAAGAGCGAGAGACAGAGAGAGAGAGAGAGGAGAGACAGAAGAGAGGAGAGAGACATAGAGAGAGAGAGAGAGCAGAGGAGAGAGAGAGAGAGAGAGAGAGAGCGAGTAGCGACAGAGAGAAGAAGAGAGACCAGAGAGAGAGGAGAGAGAGAGACTGGAGATAAGAGAGAGAGAGACAGAGAGAGACAGAGAGAGAGAGAAGGAAGGGGAAAGAGAGAAGAGAGGAGAGAGGAGAAGAGATAGAAGAGGGGGAGAGAGAGAGAGAGAGAGGCGATGAGAGAGAAGAGGAGGCGAGAGATAGAGAGGCGAGAGATAGAGAGAGAGAGAGAAGGGAAGAGAGAGAGAGAGAGGAGAGAAGGGAGTAGGAGATAGCGAGAGAGAGAGAGAGAGAGAAGGAGGTGCGAATAGAGAGAGAAGAGAGAGAAGGGGAGAGTAGAGAGATGAGACGAGAGAGAGAAGGAGAGGAGAAGAGAGAGATGAGAGACGAAGGGAGAGAGAGAGAGAGAGGAGAGAAGTGGGAGAGACGAGAGAGATAGAGAGGAGAGAGGGAGAGAGAGAAAGAGAGAGAGAGAGAAGAGAGAAGGGAGAGAGCAGAGAGCGAGAAGGGGAGAGAGGAGAGAGAGAGAGAAGGGATGAGCGAGAGGAAGAGAGAGAAGGGAGAGAGAGAGAGAGAGAGAAGGGAAGAGAGAGAGAGAGAGAAGGGGAGAGAGAGAGAGAAGAGAGAGAGGAGAGAGGAGAGAGATATAGAGGAGAGAGAAGAGCGAGAGAGTATATATAGAGAGAAGGGAGAGAGATATATAGAAGAAGGATGAGGACAGAGAGCATAGAGAGAGAGATAGAGAGAGAGAGAGAGAAGAAGAAGTGATAGAGGAGAGAGTAGAGAAGGAGAGAGAAGGGATAGAGAGAGATAGAGAGAGATAGAGAGAGAGATCGATAGAGAGAGAGAGAGAGAGAGAGAGAGAGAGATATAGAAGAGAGAGAGAGACATAGAGAGAAGAGAGAGAGAAGAGCGAGAGAGAAGGAGAGAGGATAGAGAAGGAGTATAGCCAGAGAGAATAGAGAAGAGAGAAAGAGAGAGAGAGAGACAGAGAGAGAGAGCGAAGAGAGAGAGAAGAGACATATGAGATAGATCTAGAGAGACAGATAGAGAGATAGATAATAGAGAGAGATACATATAGAGGAGAGAGAGAGATAGGAGCGGAGAGATAGATAGAGAGAGAGATATAGAGAGAGAGAGACAGAGAGAGAGAGAGAGAGACAAGAGATAGAGAGAGAGATAATAGAGATAGAGCGATAGAATAGATATGTAGAGTAGATGGAGGACATAGATAGATATAGAGAGATGACATAGAATATAGAATGAGAGTAGATTATGACATATTAGATAGAGACAGATAGAGATAGATAAGAGAGAGAGAGATAGAGAGAGATACCCCAAGATAGAGATATATAGAAGACATAGATAGATATATATATAGACAGAGATATATATATACAGAGCTATATGAGATACAGATGATGAGATATACATATATATATATATATACAGATAGCTAGATATATAGTATAGAGAGACAATAGATATAGATATACATATAATATGTATAATAGACATAATTATAGACATATTATATAATACCATATATAGGATACATAATATATATTGGAGACATCTCTATATACATATAGAGAAGATACATATATATATAATTTATATATAGACAGGATATGTATATACATTATATATATATATAGATACATATATAACATGATATTATAATATATATATATATATTATTAGATATTAGATATATATATATATCTACATGTGTATAGATACATATATATATACACGTGTATATATACATACATACTAACATACATATATATATAGCCCGAGACAATAGAACGATAGAATAGAGAGAGAGAGATATTATAAGATATATACATGGTGTGTATAATATAGATATATCTATCTATATATTATATATCTATTAGATATACATATATTATAATATATAATATATATATATATAATATATATATATATATTATTTTTAAACCCCATATATATATATATATACATATTATATATTATTATACATATATATTATATACATATATTATACATATAATATATATATATACCTATATATATACAATATATATATATTACATATATAGATACATTAATATAATACATATATGAATTATATACATTATATATATATATGACATAATAATATTATATACATATATATCTATACACATATATATATATATATATAATCTAATATATATATATATATATAGTATACATATATTATATATATACAGAATATATATACATATATATATATCTACATATATATATAGACATATATATTACATTATAATTAAGACATAAATATACATATATATATACATATCTATATTATACATATATATATACATCTATATATATATATAATATATATATATATGATATCTATTATATAGATGATAGACATATATATAGTATATATGAACAACATATAGATATATATATAGACATATACTAATATATATATACATATATATCTATAGAGATACAGATATTATAATATATATACATATATATATATTATAAATCTATTATATATATACATATATATATATAGACATATGTATAGATATACGAAATATAATATACATATATATATGTATATACATCTATATATATAATAATATACGATACACTATTATATATATTACAGATCTAGATATAATTATAATTTTGAACCCCAAATATATATATATATATAGACATATATATATTATACATGATATATATACCATATAGATCGATATAGACATATATATATATCACATATATATAATATAATAATATATGATATATATACATTAATAAAATATATTATTTTTAAAGTATACATATATATACTAGAGAGACATAATATATACATATATACATTTACATTTATATATCTATATACATATATATATATAGATACATATAATTAATATATTATATATATACATAATATATATATACATATTATTATACATATTAGTTTTAAAATTTAATTTTAAATTGTTATACATTTATATATATATATAATAGATATATATACATATAGAATATATCCATATATATATATATATACAATATACATATATATATAATAACATATATAATATATATATTACAGAATAGATATAGATACATAATATTATATATAACATATATTATATATACCTATATAGTATAATGATATATATAGATATATATATATATATGATACATATATATAGATATATGATATATAATTATTATATATATATACATATATATATTATATATATATATATATATACATATATACATAGATATATATCATATAAATATATATATATATGGAGATACAGATAGGATATATATTATATACAGTAGAGTATATATATATAGTACATATCTATATATACATAGATATATAG